CAGTCTCTTTGCTAGGTTTGGTTTAAAAACAAATAATAAAATGATTTGAAGAGACCAGTACAACTTTTTCTTTGAGAGGTTCTGCCTAGGTTAATGATAAAATAGTGTACTTGGTTTTGCAGAGTTTATATTCCCCTCTCCTTTTTCCCCTCCCCTTAGAGGGGCAACATTCTAACTGAATTCCAAGTGAGGAGAAATGGAATGCCATGACACAATATTGCTTAATATCACTATAGTAATAAGCTCATATGCACATATGAAGCTTAAACCCTTAATGAGATACAGATAATGCAAGTGACAAGGGTGATTTCTAAACTTACCACAGATTTAAGTATGCTGAAGATCAGGGCAGGGGAGTTAAACGATAATGACTTTTTATTATTATTCTCTTTACTGTTTCTTTCTGAACATGCATCTAGGAAGACAGAAAGAAACCCCTCTGTGGTATCACAATATGAAATTAAAAACTGTCTGTTCAGGAAGAATAAGGCTTGGCTTGCATAATGGTTTTTTTTCAGGCTGAAGAAGCAGAACGAGAAGAACGGAAAAAACTTGAGTCAATAAGAGAGGAGGAAAGGCGGAAAGAAGAGGAAAGAATACGTCTGGAGGAAGAACGACAGGTGGGATTGGTTGTATTTATAGATGGAAATTTTGAACCAAGTTTGTCTTTGAGATTGCTTCTATGTAAGGTCTGTGATCAGCAGAACTCCCTTTGGCTTTCTATTGCATACATTTTTAATTTGGCTTTTTGTTGCTCTGTTTTGTTTGAATTACAGTCGTACTCAGTTATTTCAACTGTAGATCCCAGCTTTGTTACCTTAAGTGCTTGGCAGAAGTGAAAACTGCTCCGAACGTCAATACACACATGTAGCAGCATGCACCCACCCACAGCTGAGTCTAGGGCAAACCGAAACCCAGCCTCCTGGTAGTGGATCTGCTACTGCTGTAAGCTGTAGAGACAGATGGGTTGGTCGGTTTGTTATGTTGACAAATGTAGCTGATAAAGTTGGCCCTTGGTTCTTCTGGGAGCTGTTTAAGTGCAGGTGCATGAAGGAGGGAGCTGTACCTAGTTGTGAGAGAAATTCTGGGGGTTGCTTGCTTGGTGTCTGACAGGAGAAATTTGGTTATCACCGAATCGTAGAACAATGGAGGTCGGAAGGGACGTCTGGAGACCATCTGGTCTATCCTACTCAAAGTGTGTCCAGCTAGGGCAGGCTGCTCAGGACCTTGACCAGCCCAGCTTTGAGTGTCTCTTAACGAAGGAGACTTCACAATCTCACCGGGCCCTTGTTCCATTCTGCGCGTTAGCGCTGCCTGCCTGACAGCTGTAATCAGCCAGGCAGAAAGTGAAAGACATCAGCAACCGATTTCGCAACTGTTGTGTAAAATTACACAATTTTCTTCTAATTGTACAAATTTACATATGCTTCACAATTAAAGGTTTCTAAACTATGCATACGAAGGTGTGTGTTAGCAGGAGTGATCCAGAAAAACAGGTGTACTGCAGCTGAAATGCTTTTGTTGAATACGTTCATCAGTGAGGGAGGCAAACTGATTTCAAAGCTGCTTTGTGTATTTTGGACATCAGTGCTACTGGCTAAGAACAGGAGTGAGTTTCATGCTCTCTGATGCTTGAGCAAGTTGTGTGGTAGCTTTGCAACGTCTTTGTGGAGGCAAGGACCAAGGTGTTCTGCTCAATCCTATGCTGAGTAAGTGCTGTCCTGGGGGAGCATAGCCCTCAGCTTTCAATGTGAATTTTTGGGGATACTTAAATGCGTGTGGAAATTTGTGTTTCTGGTTTGTAGTGAGCAGATTTATTTTAATTTGTTCTAAGCACAGGTTGTGTAAGTGGAGTGTGTTGCTGATAACATTTTAAAAGAGGAAAAGACAATTTTTCCTTTCCTTTCTTGGGGCATGAAGGCAGGATGATTTTTTTTTTAATTTCTTTCCATGCATTACACATGCAGATTGTATCCATGAGATCTTTTGTAGAATGTACATTTAGCTCTTGGCTCATCCCCCTGCAAAATCCTTTATCTTCTGAGCTCTCTGTTGTTTCCTTTTCATCAATAGAAGGCTCCGGAATTTCAGAAATTGAAATGGATGAGGAGAATGTTGGTACCACAACATCAGGATATGTAGCATGGTCTGAGATTTTGACTTGTAAAGCAATTTGAAAAAATTTCAGGGGCCCAGGTATGCCACAGCTGCCCTTCTGAGGAAAAATGTACAGATTTAGAAGTGCCTGGTAGTGGTCCAAGTGTGAACCCTGAGGCTGGATAACTGATCTCAACTAGCCCGAGCTGCTCCTGTGTTAGCCAAGCTGTTTCCTAACAGCAGAACTATCAGCCTGGGCTTCCTGCAGATCCCTGTCTACCACTTTTCCTCTGCCCACGCGCTTCAATAGCACCAACTTGTGACTTGTGGTCCCTGCGACCACTCTGCTTCTCTCCTAAGTGTTGCCGATTTCTCCCCCTTGTACTTCCAGTTCAGAAAGAGGTGAGACGAGCTCTGGCTGCCTCTAAAGCACCCATCTGTTGCCCATCCTGCTTGCCACGGAGCTTGGCATAACAGATAACCCAGCAGTTTCCCTCCAGGGGTGTATCTTTCAGGTGTTTTGCCTCCACCCAGTTCCCTAATATTTTTTTCCTTGACATTCTGGGAATTCAATATCCTTGAAGCCCTGGCTTGTTGAACTGAACCGAATGACTCCAGTACTCTGGGGGGAATTAGGAAGGCACGCTAGCGTTGTTTAAACATCGCTGCCCTTAGAGGAGGCTAATGAACAGAATTTCAGTTCCCTGCAGAGCGGTAGCCAGCATGGCAGGTGAGCTGCTAAGCAAACTGCAGCTGAGCTTGGCCAACCTTGTTAAAAGAAGCTGTAGCCCAGGAGAGAGATGTTATCCTGTTAACTGCCTGCGGGTTTGACCCAGGGCTTAGCAGTGCAGCTGGCTGATCAGGGCCAGTCAGGCAGGGTTGAGAAGCTGAGCAGAAAGTAAGGGTGAAATTCTAACTAGAGGTCTCTCCACACAGAAAGTGCTTATTAATATGTTTAGCATTTTTTTTAATCCACTTCTGTTCCATTTAGGGCTGAGTAATTTATTTTGGTTGAATGAGGAAAATCTTAATTGGTTTTATTTTTCAGTATTCCTAGTAAAGATTGCACTAAAACACTTCCTCCTCCATTTCGCAAGGCTCAGTGAAAAAGAGGAATATAAACTAAGGCATTGGGGGTTTTTATTTTATTTTTTAAATTTTGTGCTCAGCAGTCCAAAGGAGTGCGTACTAGATTTTTGAAAATTGCTTAGAAGCCTGAATCTAGCTCGCTATTCACTTTCGGCAGTAACTTCCTTGGCTACTTAAATTCTGTCATTTTAACCTTTTTTTGTTTGGTTCACTTGTTTGTTTATCCCAGTAGTCTTTATCAGGGCAGCAAGCCAACCCACCGGGCTACATCAGGAACATTATCCTGCTACTCAGGGGAAAGTGTTCTCAAAAATATTTTATGTTTTGCTTGGGTCTAAGAGAAGTTGATAATCCAGTAACTGCTCAATGTTTTGAGCATGGAGCAAAGGAAGTGTGTCTGACAGTATTTCATGTCCATCCTCAGCTGTTTTCTAGTAATTTTAAGTCTCTGTCTTCATCTGAGTCTTTAACAGGAAACAGAACAATTCGAGATTTGTACGTGTTTAGGCTGTGTTGCTTGAGTTCCTGCTTCAGTCAGCAAAGAAAGCAGTATTAACAGGGAGCACAGCAGTAACAAGAATCCAGTGTTTTAGGCTTAGCTGTGTGATAGCAGGGGAAGCAAACTGAGTGACTAGATACTCGATTACTGTGCAGGTAAGCATAGCCTGTCTTTATGATCATAACGTCTTACCTTGTTACAGACTGGTTGTGTGATGTGAAAGATAACTGCCTCTCTCTTCTAGGCCTATGTAAAGGGATCGTTGGATTTATTGTGGTTTTGATAGATACATAGGATAAAATGTCATTTACACTTTCCTCTAAAGAATTCTTTATTTCACAAGTAATATTTTGTCACGAGTAAGGCCTTGTGGGCAACACGTGATGATACTATTCCCCCGTATAAGTTAGGAAAGGAAAGGGCAAAATTGTGAAAGGTAGCTTAAGTAGTGATTGATAGGTTGGCAAATTGTTTATTGTTTTACTTGCTGCACATTCAAAGATTTGAACACGTAAATTTAGTGGCTATGCTTCATTTAATTGCAAATAAATTTAATTAGTGTAATTACAAGAGAAGCGATGAGCCGTTAGTCTCAAAACAAATGCAACCACCTTCGTTAGCTAGATTTCAGTTGAACCTTTTTTCAATCTCTCTCCCAAGAAGTGCTGCCAGAATTGTGCTGACTTCTGTGAACACCGAGATTTCCTTTGTGTAAAGGAGAGTTTCCTTTCAGCGCTTCAGCTGCAGCCTTACACTAATAGCTGAATCCTGGTCAACGGCAGTGGGCGATTCCTGCGCCATTAAATACCGTCCAAAAGTTTGTCAGATGGTGAGGGAAGCCAAATAGACTCAGGGGGATAGAAAATCATGTTGCAGCGTGCAGATCTTCTAGAAATTCCCCAGTGTTGATCTTTGATGAAGTCACCGGGGCTGTTAACCCTTTCACACGCACACCCCACTCGAGTAGTTTGAGATACGGAGTCTAGTGGAAAGAGGGCATTCTTGAGTTTGTGGGCAACTGTACACAGTGCAATACTACAAGTGGGCACTGTACCTTCGAGGCAGTTATTGATGCTAAAATCTTGCATATTCTTGAGAAAAATACCCCCCTGGTTCTATTTAAATATATTTGTATGCACATATAAATAAAATGTGGTTGCCCCTTGGCTTCGGTGTTGCAAACCAGATGATGTATTTTTAAATTCAAGTTTCCTCTCCAGTGTTCGGATGACCTGATTGGCTATGCATGTGAGGAAGCTCCTTTATAATTGGCATTTGCTTCGTCTCTGCTTTACCCTGGGGATTTCCCTTTCACTCTTGGAGTTTTTTAGTGGTGAGATGGTTTACCAACCGACACCTTATCAATGAGAACGAACTTCCTCTGATGTTGCAAAACAGTGTCTTCATACAAAGCCTTGCAGATTGCTCACAAAAGAGCTTTTTTTTCCCCTGTGCACTGGGATTTTTGTAGATTTTACTCGCTTAGCCTAGCTTTGCCATGCCAAGGAAACTGCTTGTGCAGATGCAGGGCTCGCAGCTATCACTCTTCTGCACTAAAACGCAGCGTTGAGTAGGGGGTGTTGCTGTAAATCCATTGCAGAGCTCTGGAAACGGAGCTCGATACAGTAGAGAAACTACCAGTCTTCCAGCGAGCAAGCTTTTAACTGCTGTGGAGCAACAGGCCACAGTGCGAGTGGGAGCTGGTGTTTGTTCGCTGTTACATTAAAATAAGATGTGTATTGCTCAAGCATAGTTATGCCCGAAGTTTCAAAACTAGGGCAACTTCATTTAGCCTTTCACTTTTGCATTTAAGTGCCTAAATAGAAATGGTCTGGATCTTCAGAGCTATAGAAATGGAGATTGGCTAGTGATCCCAAGGGTCCTGTCGAAGCTTGTGAGAACCAGGACCCTAAAGGTTTGGCTCTTTGATTGGATATTTGATCATGTAAGAACAGGCACCAAGTTTTAAAATGTTGATTGTTGAGTTATTTTGTGTAGTATTATGTGAACATTGAGATTTGTGTGCCTCTCAGCAGAGCTTTTCATTATCTGTTTGGCATTTATCCACTCTTCATACATAAACAGTGCATTTCTGGAGGCTGACAGAGGCTACTGCCTAGTTTCAGTTTAAGCATCAGTTTTCAAGTGTGTATACTTTCTTGAAAATTAATTTCTCCTAAGGAAATACAGCTTTCGGGAAAACTCATTCTACTCCGATTTTGAGGGGATAAGGACTGTTAGGAACACTTGTTCTATCTTTCTAAAGGTATTTTATTAATTTTGCGTCTAAACAGTGGGGGGGAGGAATCTTAGAGATCCATCTGCTCTATGCTAAGTTATTCACTGTAAGGTCCCTTTTTGCTTCCCCTAGAACCTGCACTAACAGCACAGAAATTGGATGTTATACAAGGAGGGTTTCTTCGGTCCCTGAACCTCAAAGCCTTTGGCATGGGGACCAGTACGCTTTTCCTCATTCCAGAAATTAAGGAGACGGCCACAAACAAGGAACCAAGTGGTGGCTGAAGAGAGTCCAGTGTTTGCTCTACCTTCCTCGCTAGCAATGAGATCCCTTCCGCTTAGCAATCGAATAAGCTGCCTAGAAATGATCTGTTTGTCAGCAAGTTGGTCCTTTATCTGATTTGGAGGAGAGGTGGCACAGCGCGCTACTAGCAGTTTCCTCTCCGGGAAAGCTGCTTAGGCAAAGCTCTCAGAAAAGCTGCTTACTCTGTAGGCCAATATCGCTTAGTCTCAGGGCCACCTTAAATGGGTTACTGCAATGAAAGCTAGAAACGGTGGTTCAAGATCTTCTTGCTGGGCAGTACTGTGAGGATCCTCACCCTTTGCTAAAAATAGTAATGCATGATAAACCTCCAAAGGCTGCAATCTGTCAACAGTGCAGTTACTCAAGCAGCATCCCAGGACCTCAGAGGGATGTGGGATCCCAAGAGTCAAGGTCTGCTTCCAGCTCGAAGTCTAAAAGAGTTTTCAACACGCTGTGGGTTTCGCCTGGTAAAAGATTGAGCTTTTGTGCAGTTGGCACAATTAATGTTTTTGATGTCCTGGAAATAATCATCGTGGTCAAAGTAAGAGGCGACCAGAAGGTAATGATTGGAAAGGAGCCTCGGAGCAAATCCAGGTCCTCGGTGGGCAGGCAGGATGGGGGGAGCCTGGAGAGCAGTGGAAGGGCTGGGACTGGGTGCAGTGGGAGGTTGGTGCTGACCAGATCCAGTTTAGGAAGGGGTAAGGGTGTTGGAAAGCGTTTCCCAGAGCGCTGGAGGTCCACAGGCTGCGTGGAGCTCTGGAGGCTCATGGGTCTCTGCCACGCACGGTGGGACGTGGAATTTATAGCCAGTGTGCAGAGGTAGAGTCAGTCCAGCAGGGATAATGTGGGCATTTTGTCAGAAAAAGGAGAGAAGGAAAAATGTTTTCAGTGATGTAATTTTTTTTTTTTTTCAATAAAGACAACGATCAGAGTGAGAGAGTTTGTTCTTCACATGCAGTATGGTAAACTGATCAAAAAGAAACCTTTACACTGTAGCAAGCCCCCCAATTTGGGTAACATTTGGGTGGGTGAGGAGAGAAGCAAACCTACTTCAAAAATAAAAAAAAAAAGGCAAGCAGCTGAAGGTGAGCATCTGCAGTTACCAAATTTCCATGGTGCTGGGATTTCCCCACCGCCCCACCCATCGCTGAAGGGAGGTGGCCCAGCTATTATCTCTCCACTGAGCCACATGCTTTACCACTTAACTCCACAGCAGTTAATGAGATCAGAGTGGGGAGAGGCAAAGAAACCCGACTGACGCAGATGTGGGGTTTTTTAATTTATATTTGAGCTGAGTGCCCCCTGTATGACTTGCATGAAGCAAGTGCTGGGCTGTTTCAGGAGCAGAGCCTGGGGTGCTGGGAGCGTTCCCGCGTGTGGGTTATGCATACAGACAGACTGGTTTTGTGGGAATGCAACCTGCCTAAATCTGACCTTGTACCTACCATGCAACTGCTGCATGACTTGGGCAAGTGAAAGAAGAGTGCTAGCATGATGGCGGGGAAAAATAGCTGAGAAGATGTTAGCAAACAGCCTGACTTTGCTAGGGTTCCCCCTGCTCATCTTCCACTGTGGTTGCAGGTTGCTTCTCCCAGTGCAGTCAGGCAAAGTCACCTCTCTTCTTGGCTTTGAACCAGCTTACAGTTTGCCTAAATCCTTCTTTTTCTACGGATCGAATCATTGGTGAATAAAGCATGTGAGACTGTGCAGGAAATGGCTGGGATTTTTAGTTATTAGATAAAAAAGCTTCTGGACATCCTTAGTGTTATGAAGGAGGCTATGGCCACCAGAAACAGGAGGCTTTGAGGGCTGGCACACCTCGAAGCAGCGGCTCACACCACCTGGAAATGCTCTGCTGATCGTAGCATCAAAATTTAGGAGCTGGAAAGCAAACTTATGTTGGCTTTTAGAGAGACTGCAAAAGAGGGACTGCTGACCGGGTGCTTTGCTAGTCTCACAGCAGAGATGCTTTTCTGTGTGTGTTGGAAATGGCAGTACTGATATTAATGTGCTGGTATGCTTTAATAAAATTGAAGGTACTGTTTTTCAAGGACGTAAGGAAGAGAGGAATGAGTCTTGTTCGTTTCTTATTAGACCTTCCAGAAACAGGAAATTATTTCTCAGTTTTTATTGCTGTCAGTTATAAATGGGACACTGTCTTCTGATTTATTTTTTTAAGAACAATCTAGAAATTATTTGCCAAAGCAATTTTTAGTGTATGTGATTTTTTATTTTTTTTTCTCATTTCAAATCCTGTTGAATTACAACCTCTGTAACAGACCAGGGAAAGAACCTTATTGTTGTATTTCCAGGATCAAAATTAAATTTAATGCACTTACTAGAAAAGAACAATTACTGTCCCTTCCAAATTAAATGTGGTTATGTTGTTCTTGGCACCTGTAGCACTTATGGGGGGGGGGGGGGGGGGCACATATTGTGTGCTTTTGCTAATAATCATTAAGGTGATGGATGACCCAGAAAATGGTCTTGTTTTGTCTGAAGAGTTTCCTCAGATCTGTAGATTTTTTTCATGAGATAGCCATTAAAAAATGTTTTTTGACTTTGCAGATTCAGTAAGATGCTTTCAGTCCCATTTTTCTCATATGTTGGTAGCTTTCCTTCTTGTGACTTTTTGGGAGTTTGATTAAATGCAGTTGGGACCAAATACACTTTCTTCTAGTTTTTTATTGAAGGGCAGCCCTCCCACGACCATTTCTGGTATCTTGCTGGTTTTGGCCTTACATGGCGTCTTTTGTAGTATGGACATTTTTCAATATACCTGATTACCTGTTCCTGTCTCTTCCTGGTTTAATGGCACGAGTGTTTGCTTTCGAGCCATTTAAGGAAGCCATTACCATATTAGCGTCAAAGATGTAGCATGGCAAGCATTTAGAAATCAATATAATTGTTCTTTAGGAGATCAATTCCTGTGCTAATAGTAAAGGAATGTCCAGAGATGGTTGGTGAAATCTGAAGAACTCATCTTTCAAAGTTTTAATCAAGCCTTTGCAACGTGATACCAACCAGAGGCCAGGCAAATTGGAATCTCGTTGTACCAGGTGCTGTACAAACATAAATTTCTCTGCAGAAGAAACCATTGTGAAAGGAAACATTTTTCTTCTCCGTGAGGTTAAATGTGTAAAGGTGTTTTGAAGAAGAGCAAAATAAATTTTAAAAGGAAATCATGGAAAGCTGCAAATTGATAAGCTCTCAGTAAAAATCTGTTCTTATCTGAAACAGATATTTTACAGGGGTGTTGGACCTAGATAACCTTTAAAGGTCCCTTCCAACCCAAAGCATTCTGATTCTATGATTTTTTTTTAAGTGATCTATTACATTCCAAAACTTTTAATCGCAGTTTTCCTGTGTGAGTGTGCGACTATTCTACATTACCTACTATGCATCACCATTTCACTGATGTCGAGCTTGGGGTTTTCTGGGTTGGCTTTTGGGTTGGTGTTTTTTTTTTGACTTAGGATTTCTTTCAGGGTAGGTAACTGAAAGTATTTTTATTGCAAATAACAAAAAGCAGAGCCTGCAGGTTTTGGTTAACAATCAAACATGTAAAAAAACCTTTTTTTTAATACAATCATGCCTTGTGTCCTATGCCTAAAATACTTTATACAGTTCTTTACATTCCATGTAGGCATAGTTTACTTGCATGTCGTAAGAAAGAGATTTCACTTGAAACTCTCTTACAGGGCAGCTGCTTCTCCCACGCAGATGGACCCCAGTGTAACTCCACTATTCTTTGTGATCACTCCCGATGTACCCTAGTGCACATCAGAGCAGCACTGGGGCCAGTTACTGAAAATGTGGATGTTGCATCAACGTACAGTTAGGGGCAGGGCCTTCCTGTCACGGGATCTGCAGAAGAAACTGATTCATGCAAATTAAGAAAGCAGGTTCCTATATAAGAGTGGTTTTCTTCTCTGTGTCAGATGTGTTAAGAACCAGCCTAGGTGTCTTGTGTGCAAGCTTACACAGCCATGTGAGATGGTTACTACCTTAAGGGTGGCTTGTGAAATTTATGATGCCATCGGGGGAGAACTTAGACTCATTTTAGAAACTTTATCTGCTGTCTGTCCTAGTAAAACCAGACTGCAGATAGAGAAGATGCTGCTTTACTTAAAACTAACCCTGACTTGGGGAGGAGCAAACTGACCACTTGTCATCTTTTCTGTCCAGGAAGAGGAACAAAGAAAGGCAAAGGAAGAAGAGGAGAAGAGAGAGTACGAAGAGTACCTGAAGCTGAAGGAGAGTTTTGTAGTTGAAGAGGAGGGAGTTGAAGAATCAATGACAGAGGAAGAGGTATGTATGTTAAGCTGTTACTGCAGTTTTCTTTATCTTTGTTAGACTCAGGTTGCCCTGACTGCATTCTGTCTCATGTGAAATGAACTTGAAAGTAGGAGTCAGCCAAATGTTTTTGCTTGTAAAAGCTAAATTCTATATATGACACAGGTTAACCTGAAGTATTTCCTGGGGAGTGCTACAGCCCCTCATTCCAAACTCATACAAATTAGAGTACTAAGGCAAATGCATATCACTGGAAATGAGTTCTCTCCTCCCTTAATGTAACGATTGAAATAACGCTCATCCTGGAAGTCGGATACTCTCTTACTGTCCTCAGCTCTGCCCTACCCATATATAGTGGGCCAGATGAAAGCAAGGCTAAAAATGGAGTTTGGTAGTGCCCACATGTCTTGGGAGGAATTGCTTGGTTTTGGTTTTATTTTCTAGACCAGCGGAGCTGCTGTGAAATCAAATGACAAACCAAGCTCTTGTCTTAAAAGGTTTCTGTTAAGACAATTTACAGGACACAACCTAGGTGCTTGTGGGTTGTACACTGGAAAACTGGGCATTCAGTGTTGCAGACGATTGCTGTGGTTGGTAGTATTTCAAACTCCATGTAACATTCTAGCATGCTCCTCCTGCAGCTGCCTGCAGACGTGCTGCTGGGGATGGTGGTTGAAATGCGATACTTGACATAATATCACAGCAAACTTGAGAAAGTTCCACTGTTGTGGGAGGCAGCGTTCTTAGTCTGTCTGCTGAAAACCTGTTAGACTAATTTTAATTGCTATCAAATGCTGAAATTGCTCTTGGGTTGTAGCTGCCAAATTTGAGCTGTCCAGTGCATTTCATGAGAAGGATTTTTTTTCAGGGCCATGTGTTCGTTTGCGCTTAGCGTGACGGAGAGTGGCTTTGGGCTGAGGAGCTTGTAATGACTCAATACTACTTGACATTAGTCACAGGTTCTCACTGTGGACTCCTTTCCTTTGAGAGAAATTCCTCCCTGATGCTGGGATTAACACCAAGAAAAGTAGTACCTGGCGATGGGGAATTTCCTAAGATGCAGGCAACAGCGAAATGCTTACTTTCTGTGTGGAAAGTTCCTTCAAAAATGCGTGCCTGTCCTGTTAGAAGATCAGATTATAGCTAAAATATTAAATTGTTCTACTTTAGGCTCCCTTTAAAGCTGGAATTTGTTTACTGTCTGTGTTCCTGCAGCTGCCTGCCAAGGAGAAATTAATCTTTCTGTATGTGGGAACAGAGAAGGGTGTTCCTCACTCAAAAGAGCCTGGCAGGCAGTTGATGCCTGGATCTGAGCTTAAGATGTCTTTGGTAGGGATGGGGAGATACTGCTTTAAGAGCAGGTGATTTGAAAGTCATCTTCGAAGCAACCATAGGTACACAGTTACTTGCAGACACCACCCTTCTGCCTTGTAGTGGATAATGTGCTGAAGCATGTTAGTATCCTGTTACGACAGCTGACTCTGCCTTGTGTTGTTGAGGCTGGCATGCTGAAACTCATGCTGAAAATTAAAGTCCGGAGTCCAGAGCCAAGCAATTAATTAAGGCTGATTGATTTCCAGGGTTGCAGAGTGATTTGATCTCCTGTTAACTTAAATGTACATTGTTTGCATTGCCTTTGAAAATTGAGCCACTTCTATGAAAATGCCAGATTTCAGGTGTGTAGCTTTGAAAACGGCTCGAGCTTCCACATGTGTGATGCAGCTGTGTGCTGTGCTTGACCATCTGCATGAGCTGTCTCCTGAATCGTGCTGTACTTCATCTCTGTACAAAATGTCCTCAGTGGGTGTGTGTGACTTAATACACCGTGCACAAACTCACCCAGATGTGGTGATTTCAGGGTATGTATGATGTGAAGAACGAAAGATTCACAGACTTCCTTTCAGGAAATGCTTAAACACAAATTATGCTGGAGCCATATTCTGTCTTAGAAAATGCCTGTCATAAATTCCTAGTTAAGGTTAAATCTAGATATATTTGTTTTTTCCAGCTTAAAGTCTTGCTCAGTGTCTATGTTTAAAACTTTGGAAGTACGCAAGCTGAACACTTTCTCTAATATTTGTGTTCGGCAAGTGTTTGATGCATTTAATGTTCATGAGTTTAAAATAACAGTTGTTTTCCTTGCTGTATCCAGTCTCGCAGCTTTCTAACGGAGTTTCTTGAATACGTTAAGGTAAGCTACCATTGGTCTTTCTCCTCTTTCCGTACTTGTTAGATTGTGTAAAATACCTTTGTCAGGGAGCGGAGTTGCACTAAGAAGGAAAATCTTTACTTCCTCTTTGATTTACTTAAATATTCAACAAGTAGCAAAAGTGATACCTTAGATAAAGTCTGCATTATTTGCTTAACCATGCATGAGCTTGTCCAGCATTGTTCTAATGGTTTGTAATTCTACCTGTATCTTGGCATTTTGGGGCGGGATTGTAGCTCTCGCCCTGTTTTAAAAGAACAGGCATTGTGAACTCTGCACCTGGTGGATCACCCTCAGCGTTTATGAACAGCAGCGTTTGCTGTCGTTTGGGATTCGGGACATTCAGGCTTTTCGTTTGTGAGCATCAGCCACTGATTTAGAAAACAGTCTCTACATGAATAAGAATTGCTGTACCAGCGTGTGGCCTGCCACGGGGGACGTGGGGGGCTGTGTGTCTGAAGCACTGGCGTTGTACAGGTCAATCCAGCTTTTCCTGCGCTTTCTTTTCTTGTTTTTATCCGTGCGATTTGCGATGATGTCTTCACATTTGGAAGGCGTATTGAAGGAGAAGATCACCTGTTTTTAACAGGGCGTGCTAGTCCCCCTTTTACCGTATTGTGTGGTTGGTTATTTGAAACCTGTGGAGTCTTCATGAGGATTTCCACTTTTGATCTGTGAGGACAAGCGCTTCTTTCTCCACTATTGGTATATCAAAGGTCAAACGCATTTTTCTGCTCTTACTCTAACAATGTAATGCAAATCTTATGTTCTAATGAATCCCTTTTCTCCTTTACTGGAAATTGGACTCTTACCTGACAATGTATGGCATGTGTGTGAAAGGCTTCATGAGTAAGCAAATCACTTGCATACCTAGTGACGCCCTAATGATTTTGTTGATCCAGAACCTCGCGCTCTGGGCCAGCTTCGCTTGTCCATTACCCCAGGAAAAACCCAGAGTTACAAACAGATTTGTCTCATGGGTCACTCTCCTCAAGAAGTGAATCTGAGTGATTGCCATGCAAGTCTGAGCAACGGCTCGATCGTTCTAGAATCGCTGCAAAGCTACGGTGCCAGCATCTTCTGCTGCGCTGCTCTCCACCTCCCGGGTCACTGGCACTTTTGGTGTTGTATCCCTTGCCGTCAGGCCACAGGGAGAGAGGCTGCTAGGTTTGTGTCTGTCAAGTGCTTTCTGATCAGCATGATCTCTGGGGGTGATTTGGAAACGTCTGAGCTAGTAGGACTCGGAGTTAGGACTTCATTGCTGCAGCCCAAATGAAAATAGCCCCTGTTCACTAACCAAGTCCCCAGCCTAAGTGGGTGAGACAGCTGAGGATAGATTGGAAAAGCTATGGGTGACATGTTTAAAGGGCCTAAGTAAAACCATGGAGTGATGGTGAACCATCGGATGGCACATTTCATTTTGGAGCCGTGCAGCGATCTCAATATTCTGTTTTCCACAGAAGCCAGAGAGATTTCTTTGAAGTGGCCATGTCTGTTACGACCACCCTCTGTTTCAATTACTGACTGTGGAAATGGACTACATGGCACGGTGTGATCCCAGTTCACCCGTTCCCATCTAAGGCTTTCAAGATACTGCCAGGCTGTGGATTAAGGAAAATGTGCTGTTCTTTATTGATAAACAAGCTGCCCTAACAGCAGGTAGAACAACAGGATATTTCAGTGTCCCTTGGGACCTCCCGTGAAAATTGGGAGGGTTTCCAAGGGCTAACACTGCAGGGTCTGATTCTGCCCGTTGCCCCGGTGGTTGTGATGGATGGAACAGATTAGTCACAAACTCTCAGTTCGGTGTTTAAGCACATATGTATAGTTTTATATTAGTCACTTCTACTTGACGTCAGAGAAGTTAAGCACAGGCTGAGAACCTAATTCAGCAGTGCTTTGACACCTGATTTCCTATGTAGAGGTGAGTTGCAGAACTGGGGCATTGCTTTCTTTTACAGGTTTAAGGGGTTTTTCTAATCTTGAAAGTATGCTTAATATATAGATTATGTATTGCCCTCATCTTCTGTTCTATTCACAGAAAAAAGCATTGACTTATAGGAAGAAGCAGTGCTAAGCTGCTTGTAGCTGTCTGAAAAATGTATAAATTAGAAGAGCAATTGGCATTTTGAAAAACTAAAATTTAATTTAGCTCTTCTGTTGAATAACTTATTTTACTGGAATAAAAGACTGGAGATATCTCACCCCATGCTTCATTCCTAAGGGTGTTTGAAATAAAATGCAGCCTCTTTTCTCCAGCTCTGCCTTGTGGGATTGTTTTAGATGGGATTTTTCTTAGAGGCAGCAAAAGGATTGACACCCCTCAGTTCTGCTTTTCTGAAAGCTGAGCATCTCCCTTCCTTTGGGGACCCCACAACCCCTTTGACCCACGTTACACCTCAGGCTGCAGTGTTGTCTCTGCTGCTGTTGCCATCCTGCATGTTTGCTGCTTACAGTGGCCGGTCCTCAAGTCACACACCTGACTGCTCTGCTCTCAGAGGAGCAGAATAACCAGTTCTCAACTGGAGCCTTATGGTTTTACTTCACAGTGCTGTAGATGCACGACACACCTTACCAACCAGCGCCGGGGCTCTCTGAGCGCTTCAGAAAAAGATTAATAATGAAGTGGGCAGAGGTTAAAGAGCGGCTGAGCGGTTCCCTTGCCGTGCAACCCTAGCTCTGTTGGCCCAGGGAAGCAGGAGCCTGCGCTTTGTCCATCACACTGTTGTCACGCTGTTCTCACCTGGCTTGCCAGTGCATCACTGAGTGCATCTGAAGTAGAGCCAGTGAATGGAAGCGTCAATCTGCATTTAAAAGAAATAGCGAAGGACTTGGAGGTTTTACCTGTGTTTATTTTTTCTTTAAGAAAAATGACGCTTACAAGATCAGGAAAAAATGTCCTGCTCATCGTGATCCTGGGAGCTCTTGCTATGTGTCATCCCTTGCTGAGGACAGCAGCAGAATCATACCTAAAAGTGAATGGATTCAGTGAAGTGTAGATGTGTATATGTTGCTCTATGAAAGTTAAACCTGTCTCTAAAATGTGAAGCATGTGGTGAAGGGTTTCGCTGGCTTGGGACCTCATAGTGTCGTTATATTTCAGGGTGTGTGGGGAGCGCATCCCAATTCCACCCCACCCTCTGGACTTCTATTCACAGCAGGATCTGTCTTGAAAAGTTTCCAGTAAATGTGGTCGTTGAGGGTGAATATCTTCCATTGAAGGTTTAAGTCCTGGTTTTCTTGTTTATGTGGCTTTACACACCGCCCCCCCCCCATCCTTTTAAAAGAAGATGTGACGAATCTTGGCAGTTCCCAGCTCTGAGAACTGAATTCCATGGACTGGTTCCAATTCCATGCGTTCAGTCCATGTTATTCAGTTCTCTAGCTTGGCTGCATCAAACTTCACAACTACTAAGTCTGTGTGTGGCTTTTTTTGTCTGATTTTATTAATGAAAAATATTCATCTATTTCAGCCTCTCTGTTTCTTCACTGTCCTTCAAGTGTACTCTCTAGATCGGAAACAAATGCATTTATTGTTTGAAGTATTGCATCTGATAATGTAAATGTAGCTCTCGTGGCCATACATATATGGCTCTTAAGAAGCCGGTCCAGAGTGTTAACTGAAGAGTTTTCTAAAGTTGTATATTTTCCAAGCTCCTTACAAACGGTCCATCCTTTACTGCATCTAAACAGATGCGTTTTGGAAACTTTTGCAGATAAGAAAACAGGAACCAGGTAGCTCCCAGCAAGTGCCCCAGGTGTTTTCCCTGCAGTACTCTGGAGCTACAGAGAAGCCTAAAACCAGCTGTGAGCAGCGGTGACTGCGTCCCGACTGAGAGGCTGCAGTACGAATCTCTTTCAAAAGCGAGATGAAAATTTGCAGTTCCTGCTTCTGTCTCTGTTCTCGGAGATCGCGGTGCTGCCTGCGCGGGAGTGTGCTGGCAGTGCGCTTCCAGCACTGGCAATTTTAATAAGGTGTTCACTTGCTTAGGAAGATTATTGTGGCATTAATACATGTGGCATTAGTAAAACAGACTAAAGCATTTAATGCTGCCAGTCTTGTCTGGATTTTTATGTATACCAGTGATCATTTTAAAGGTACTTTGAAACATCTCTCAGGCAAAAAGGGAGCTTGCTGAAGCATACTGGAAATTAGAGGTAGCAGTTGAGAAACTCACCTGGCAGGGAGAACAGAGCCATGGCTGTTCATTGTGCTTGTGCTCATCCTGTCCTCCTAACGTAAGAAAAGGCTCAGGATGAACATTGGCAAATGTATTTGAGTCTTCACGTCAGTGGGTCAGAGTATCTGATCTTTCTGCAGAGCAGACCGGTTTAAGTAACTTAAGTTACAGTTTTTCATCAGAGAAGAATGCTTACTAGGAAGAGTTAGGTAGAATGACAGGTTCTACTTCGTCTGTTAAATGCATTTTTAATTTGAAAATTAAAGAAATAGGCTAACCCTCTAATTTATCAACTGCATGTAACTCCTGTTTGTTTCCATAGAAAACAAAGGTAATCCAGCTGGAGGACTTGGCTTCACATTTGGGTTTAAGAACACAGGTAAGTACTAACTTTTGGGGTGCAGGTGCAAGAAATGTGTTCAAAATGATAGGAGAGAAAGTGAGTAAAGAAAAGTAACATCTATGGAAGTGTCTTGACATTACTGAAAATGCTCGGATTTTGGTGAAGTTCAGCAAAATTAGCCTTAAAAATGTGGCCATTCATCAAAGTACCATCCAGCCAGTGAAGGACTGTTAGCTTACAAGATTGTTTCAGTGAAAAGTGCTCCATCTGCCTCTTGCACAGCTGCCTGTTGGCTAATGGGTCCTGTAGTGTTTGCAAATCTAGTAATAGAGCAATTCAGGGTACTTGGGAATCAAAAGCAAAGCTAGAAGCAAAGACAGATGCTGCCTGCATAATTGGACAATGTTGTTATGTTTGCAGACAATCAATAGATGAGGTGTTCCGCTCCAGTTGTTTGTGTGTTCTTAGAACATTAAAGAATTTGTATCTTCTGGTGGGTTACTTAAGAGTATTGTCCCTCTAAACACCATACAAGCCTGTCAAAGTGAGCTCATGGTGTGAGCTCTAGACCCCCATACTCCTTCTTTTCTTGCCCCTCATCCTCTTTTTATTCTCTAAACATTCTGTGTTTTGACTCTTAAGAATAGCCATGGCTTGGTTTATTTTAATTTGAGCACATTTGACATGTATTTGTAAGTGAGCAGTGTTTTCTGTTGTTCTGTACCTCATCTGGTCTTGGGGTGCCCCTATACAGCAGCTTACGCTGCTGTAGGTCCCAGCTGCTGTGCCCCTGCCTCTCTCTTAGACCAGAACTTGATTTCAGCATGCAGTGAGCCAGTTAAGGGAATCTGTCTGGTTGAAGTCTATAAACTGTAACTTGCTTCTGCAGCCCCATAAAAAAAGGGAAAGAGGCAGAACTGTGGAAAACAGGCCTAGATACTAGCTTAAGGTGTAGTGGAACCGCGTGCTTGGACTAATTATAGAGTTAACCCAGCAATAAATTCAACAAGTTGTTCTTTGGCTTGGTGCAAGAGGTTTCCTCTTAAATGGAGCAGGGAAAAAAAATATTAAAAGCTCTGGCATGTATTGAGTGTAGCCAGGTTCTTGGAGAAGGACCTCAGTGTACTTCATGGGACTCGCATGTTGCATTGGCACTATACAGCCTTTCCCTGGGAAGATGTGGCAGTTAAAGTCTCTTTGGGGCTAGGGAATTTATCTGAACACCCCAAAATGCAGAAACTCACTTCATGCTGCTAAGACTTACTGCATCTGTCTATGTGGAAATATTGGTGTATATTCTTCACTGAAGTCTTTAGGCTGGGGAATTAAATGTAAGCCTCCATCTGTGGTTTATCTGAACACGTGAAATGTTTTTTGCCTCCCTCTTGATCAGTTTGTTGTTTCTTTTTCCCTTCTGAACAGGATGCAATTAACAGAATCCAGGACCTGATGGCAGATGGCACTCTGACAGGTGACGGCCAGAACACAAAGGGGATTTTATTTTAGCTGGTGGATAGATGGTGCAGGAAATGCCTTCACTATGGTAGAGAGGGTCTTCCAGTGTAATTTCTGTTTTCAACTGTAGAAGATCCTAGTAGGACTTGATAAATAGAAATTTCTACTATCCCTGCTTCAGCTGCTGTGAAATTACTCTTTAAAGCACAGCAGGATGCGATCACTCCTATGACAGATGGGGTGATACAGAGGTGGGGGTGGCTGTCCCCAGCAGGTCTGCAACCAACACAAGGTTCTGCATGTTGATTGAGCCCTGCTGCAGGCCTTCAAGGGTTGCCGAGCAGCCAGCTGCAAATGATGCCTTCTGAAATCTGAATCTGAAAGAAGAGCTTGGGTCTTTTGGGGTGGTTTGCAAGCCTGTTCGAAAGGCGCTGTGGCTAAAGCCAGTACCAGGCTACGGCACGCTGTGGGAGAAGCAAACATCCCAGAGCACTGCAGGATGCTGCAGTAAGTGAAGTGCTTGTTCCTAGCCACGTACCCACGCAATCAAAGTTGGAATGTGAGCAGAGACTGAGCATGTGGGTAGCTCCCTGTCCGAACAAGTCTGTTTTATTGCTAGGCAGTCTTTTTCTTTCCGAGGATTAGGTAAGGGAAGGTGCCAGTGCAAACATTTACTGACCTGATAGCGTGGTCGTGGCTGGGAAACAGCTGTCTTGATGGGTACGTGTGGATAGCCCCATTCGAGTGGCCTAGTAGTGCTCAGAGTCAAAGCGTAAGGATGTGTCCTGTCCTGGCAGTGTCTGTGGCCCAGCAGGCAGGCCGGTGAGGCCCTCGGCCTTGCGTTTGATCCTGTAACGCGTTAAGAACAGAGAGGTCCGTTCTCACACTCGATGGAGCAACCGAAATACCGAAACTGAGCTTCGTTCCTTTTTGGAGGGTAAATTGGAATGGCTGAGCTGGAGCCCATGGGGTCTCTGAATCGCCTCCAGGACCCTCCTGCTGCTCTGCCTTTCTCTACCAGCTGCCCAGGCCCAGAACATCGGCGCCGAAACTGTGTCCCTGAAGTAGATGCCGTGCTGCTCCCAACTAGCTGCACGCACTGAAAAGGCTGCGTTACTCTGAACGAAATTAGTCTCACCGAGGCCCTCGGCTATTGTCATAGCCCTGCTCAAAGACCCAACAGTGGAGAGGAGATAAAAGCCTGGCTGCTAGCACGTTGTTCTGCCTGCCCTAGATATGAAATGCGGCTTCAGCAGTTTGAACCTCCCTTCCAAAAGGAGGGACTGATGTCTGTCGGGAAGTGAGAGGAGCCAAAGTGCTGACTTCAAGGTCCTTTCTTTCCCCCCGTAGGTGTGATTGATGACAGAGGAAAGTTCATCTACATCACTCCAGAGGAGATGGCTGCCGTGGCTCAGTACATCAGACAGAGAGGACGAGTCTCCATCGCAGAGCTGGCCCAAGCAAGCAATTCCCTGATCAACCTCCAGCCTGACAGCCGAGCCGTTGCTCCCACTGTGGCATGAAATCTTGGCGTGAGAAAAACACAGCGGGAGTTTAACCTTTTCATGAATAAAACAAGAACCCCACTAGTCCATTCACAGTGCTTGAAGATAGGATGCTCTTTTTAAGTATCAGCTGCAAGAATTGATCAGGGGTTTTGCCATTGATTGTGTTAGAGCTGGTATAAAATAGGGCAGTCTTTTGTACAACAGAAGCTAGCCAAGAACTTGGGGCTAAAACACTCTGATGCACCTGGACCCCAGCAATATCAGTAATTTTTACATGGTTACTTCATCGTGGTAGCCAGTCTCATGTGTCTCTACCCAAACTTTTTATGGTTTCCAGATTCCGATGTCTGTATCAAATACATTTTGTTTTGATTGTGTTTGGGATCCTCCAGACTTGCTCTGCACTTACGGAGCTGTGTAACTTTGTGGCAATGACATATACAGCCCAGAATAATAGGTGTGTAGGGGTGAGGCTTGCAGACTTTGTCTTCTGTATCAGCGTTGGAAGCACAGAGTAAAAAGAAAATACTGCAAGTGTGTCTGTTCGTACTGAAATAGATACTGAAACTCCAGAAATGTGACAACTTCCAGAAGTTATTGCAGAAAACTTTTGCTGTATAAATATGTTTTGCTTCGTTTATATAATTTAAAAAGTTTGCTTGCAGCCAACCTCTGCTATTTTTCTGTAGCCAAGAGACAGAAACGGCTCCAGGGAAAGGCTAGCTCGCCTCATGTATTGTGCAGGCCAATTCTGCTGATACCAACCAGCTTCTGATGATTCATCCTTTGAAGTGAGAGCCAGCTCAGTGTGTCTGAAGGCCTCAGACACCCCCGCCCCATGGCCTTTGTGTTCTGGATGGGGTTTTTTTTAAAAAATGCACTATGAGTCATGCAATTGATGTTAGAAGTTGTTATTAATATATTAATTGCAGGGGTCAGTGTATTTCCTGCATAAAATTTTTTTTAATAGCCTAATTGATGCTCTGTTAATTCTCCTTCCTGAAATCAGCAGAATCTATTGTGGATATACAGTAATTGGGGAGGGCAAGAGAGGCTGGTTTTGCCTCTGCCAAGCTTAGAGATCACTTGAGTAGACCAAAAGCTGTGTTATCAGTGAGATGAGGTAGCAGTGAAACAATGGAAGGAAGCGTATTTCCTTTTCAATCTCTGCGCTGCTGCTGGACCCGATACTCTGCAGGAGTGCCGAGTTACAGTGCAGCACCACACGATGTGAAAGATCAGTACGTCGTCACTGGGCTGCAGAGATTACTTGAGATTTGAGGCTTGCAAAGTCTCTCAATAATTCAAAATTTGATTTTGCCATGATTTTTTTTTGTTCTGTCTTAAACTGTTCTTGCATAAAATAAACATTTGTGAAAGAATTGCAGAGATTTGTAACCTGAGATATTTTTTAATGTATTAAAGGATTTTATGAGATAAAGGAGCAAGCCAGCAATGCCAGAAACTCCAGTGTGCCAGTCAAAGACCAGAAGTATTCCATTAAATCCCCTGAAATCACTCCAAAGCACACTCCATTTCTGTGAAAGTAACCAATAACGCCACCTCCACCGTGCTGCACAAGCTTGCTTCCTGGCTCCTAGGAGAACTGCACCAGCAAAACTGCCCTGCCGCTTTAGCTAGGCCAGCAGTCCGCCGAGACTCGTGTGTGCAGTCTCCTTTCGCACGCTTCTGTGTCCTAGCTCGCACAAGATTGGTGTCTTGAAATGGTCTGAATTATTTTTGTATGACATTATTGGAGTTCCACAGGGCTGTGCCAAAGCCAGACGGGTTGTTTGTGATTCGGTGACAGGTCGCAGAAGGACCGATGAAAAGCTGCGGTTTGAAGGAGGTGCTAGGCAGAAGGCGGCTATGGCAAAGAATTATTGTGAGCCAAGTTCATGGTCCATCAGAGGGCTCTCACAATAATGGGTGTCTCGAAGTGCCGCTTGCCTAAGATCTGGTTTTGAGCTTGACAGGAGTGTTTCCATTGTAAGTGGAGCAAGGCAAGATAGCCAGAGCGAGAGATGGGTCACCAAACAAGTTTTGTAGATCTTTCTGCATGTTATCTGCTTTCGTGGGAGACTAAATTGAACCTGTGGGTCCCTGCGAGCACAGAGGTCATACCTGACACTAGGGTTCGGGGCGTCTGTGCTTGCCTTTATCCGTGATTCCCTGCTAGGGATTTCCAATACTGTATTTTGGACCTGACAAATTCTCAGTATTGTGGTTTTTGACCTTTTAGAAGGCGTGGTGGCGATGGGTTGACAGTTGATAATCTTTGTGGTCTTTTCCAGCCTTAATGATCACAGAATCACAGAATGTTCGGGGTTGGAAGGGACCTCTGTGGGTCACCCAGCCCAACCCCCTGCCCAAGCAGGGTCACCCAGAGCAGGCTGCACAGCACCGCGGCCAGGCGGGGCTGGAATATCTCCAGAGAAGGAGACTCCACAGCCTCCCTGGGCAGCCTGGGCCAGGGCTCCGTCACCCTCAGAGGGAAGAAGTTCTTCCTCATCTTCAGCTGGAGCTTCCTCTGCTTCAGTTTGTGCCCGTTGCCCCTTGTCCTGTCACTGGGCACCACTGAAAAGAGCTTCGCCCCATCCTCCTGACACCCACCTTTCAGATATTTATAAGCATTTATTAGGTCCCCTCGCAGCCTTCTCTTCTTCAGGCTGAACAAGCCCAGTTCCCTCA